ATTGCCTTGCCAGCGGTCTCTGTGTTCTATGTGCGCGTTTTTTTTTTTCGCCTTCCATTTCATGTCCCGCGTTATTGATGTTGAACTTCCATGTAAGTCGTAAAATCAACGGTCAATTTTTTTCTCTCCTTTTTTCAGGTTAATTCCTTTGAGCAACTCTGCATAAACTACACCAACGAGAAACTTCAGCAACTCTTCAACCACACTATGTTCGTTCTCGAACAAGAGGAATACAGTCGAGAGGGTATACCTTGGGACTTTATTGATTTTGGGCTGGATCTCCAACCCACCATAGATTTGATTGAAAAGGTGAGGTTTACTACCATGCTCGATTTCATTTCTTTCAGCCATCATTTAAACGCTTTTTGTTTCATTCACAATTTTGCTCTCATTTTGCCTTTCATTCTTTATGAAGCCCGTCGGTATCTTGGCCCTTCTGGACGAGGAGTGCTTCTTCCCTAAGGCTACGGACAAGTCGTTTGTAGAAAAGCTTTTCAAGCAGCAGGAGGGCAACCCTAAGCTTTTTAAACCTGAATTCCGTTCTACATCGGATTTTGGTGTCTGTCACTATGCTGGTCGCGTAGACTATCAAGCTGCTCAGTGGCTAACCAAGAATATGGACCCTCTCAACGATAATGTCGTCTCACTTCTTCAGTCATCCAACGAACCTCTCGTTCAGGTAGTACTATCTCGCGTTTGGCCTTGTTCTACATGTCATCCTTGTTCTAATCATCCCCGTGACTGCTTGAATCCAACTGTGACAACGTGAGTCACTATCGCAGGGCTGATTAGTCGACCAGCTGGTTCGTTTGCTTTTGGAAGGCATTTGTCTGGTGCTTACCCACGCACGCACATACCTGCTTATAGATAACACTTGCCCACATTTGCATACGTTTCCTTTGTTTGGAATGCACATTTTTTTAGCGATATTTGTGCTAATCGGCTACTTTCAAGTTTTTGAAGTCTTTAAAGAACTTTTCAGTCGTAAGCTAGATGTTTTGCGGTGTTATTTGGCCTGCCGCTTTCGGGAAACCCTAATCTGGTTTGGTGTTCCATTTCGTACCTTGGGGACTACTGCTGATGCATTTACTTTGGCTGGTTTGCATCTTTGACTTCCAACTGGTATGGTCTATTGGTATTCTCTACGATCATCATTTATGTCCTCTAGGAGGTACCATTTTTGAGAATTCTGATCTGAACCAACCTAAATACGTTATTTTCAACCGCCTTGTGATTCCCTACAACCGGCGCTGACTAATAAAGTGACTCACTGATTTGCTTATATGTTTGAATCTTTGGCATTGGACTGTCACTTTCGATTTGGGTTTCGTCATCTCTTATGTTGCTATCTTAGTCAGCTGTTGTGACCGCACCTCCTCAAAGCTCTGACATTGGTCAGTTTTGATGCGCTAGTTGGTATTTACCTCGCTTTCGCCTTGATCTAATTTAATTTTCTGCTCTCCCTTATATTGCAGTCGGGTGCATGGTTCAAAGGAATCCACTTTCTGCCCTATCTCATCGATTCTACTAACGGACGGTTACACTCGCAACTAGTTTTGTTCGAATGAAGCAAGCGTAGTTTTTTGGTTACTGTAGGCGTTGTCACGCCACAAATACTCATTGGAATCTAACCCGAGATAACCGTTAGCGGAATTTTAAATCTTTTGCGTGCACATAGATATATTTGCGATCACGCGTCTGTTTTGCATACATTACCCTACTCTAGCCCCGTCTTTCACTCTTAACAATGCGTGTGCGTTGACGTGCGCGCACCCACGCGTGCACACCTCTTGCTCAAGCATGCACAACAAATTTGCATGTGACTGGCTTGTCTATGTAGATTTAAAGCAAAAACAGAAATTACCATACTGTGAACAAAGCTCCTGTGGTATGGGTCTAATTTACCATAT